AAGAATGCAATGCGTCGAGTTCGCGCTCACAGGTCCAGTACCCCTTTTTAAAGTTTCGGGCAGGACTAGTTTCGGTCTACAAGTCTCACTCTGGAGAAACCTGGGAATTTTGGTAAACTAGGGTAAGCTCGTCCAGTCACCTTGGTAGAACCGGTCAATTCTTGTGAGCTCACGGAAACGGTTCTCTAGATGGATCGACAGGTCGACGGGAACTAGCAAGAGTTCGAAATGTCCCTCCCCCCTCTTAGCCGAAATGCCCCGAAATCGTAGTTCCGATTGGTCGACTCTTCTAATTTCTTACCAAAATTATTCCAGGATCAGCCACTGATTGACATGCGGCGAGATGTTCTTCCAATAATTATTTGCTTTATGTCCTACGTCAGTCCGTGGATGATGTTTCTTACTACGAGAGAACTCCGACACAAAGTGCTGTCCCTTTACGGCTTCAAACGAAGACGAACTTCGGTCAGCTTTTCGTCAATGACCGATTTATTTGTCGTTTCAATTAGCTTAATTGTGAAAGTCTGTTCCAGAGTAATTCGCTTGCTTTCAACCAACAAGGAATCACCACGATAACCCCAACATTACGGGTGAAGCCTGTAACGTGACGAATAATCGATACACGTGAAATACTGTGTTGGCCCATGAGAAATGGTGTTTTTTTTCTAATTCCAAATAATTGGTTTTCAATATCTGGTCGCATGAAATTTCCGTACAGAAAACGCCATCAATTATGAGCCAACCCGATAGAATGCTGCTGAACTCTTGGGCGCTGTTTATCGACGGGGAGGGGGCATTTTGTATTATAATTGCTTCCCTGGTTCCGGTTTACAAATCTCACTCTGGTAAAACTTGTGAACGCTTGTGAAGCTGGAGCAAGATCGTCTAGCCACCATCCTAAAACGTGTCAACTCGAAAAAAGGGTACTAGATGGGTTGGCAAATCTATGAAAAGCAGAATGCCCCCCGTCGATAAACAGCGCCGAACTTTTGTATATATCTATATGCATTATCACATATCATTATCATAGTGATAAAGACATTGTATCAGTACTAGCACAAGGAACCTATGGACTTTTGGAGGGGTCAAAGACACATGAGTGTGCCATTGCTTCTCTCAGAAGCGGGAAACAGGTGTAGAACTACTCCCCGTGGTCTCGTACATTTGGTAGCCCCATCTGCAGTCGTGGACAGTTCACCAGTTCACCAACACGTAGTTTACAACCATTTAGGCCTGTGTAGACCACTACTTCTACGCGACAATGACTTACATCACTATTTACCACGCCTTTGTTGCCTGCAGCGTAGCGCAACGGTTTCATGTACCCTTTACTGGGAACGCTACCGTGTCGACTTTTTTTGAGGCAACGTTCAGACTTTGCAAGGAGAGCATTTCGGTCGCGCGTTCTACGCACTACTCAACCGGTCCTACGAGCGACGAGCGGCCGCGTCGCATGCGCGTACGATTTGATCGCGCTCCGAGGCTAGTTCAATGGACGGCTCCTACATTTCGCTGATAGGTATGAACGCTGCCTTGGGAATTAAATAGCCCAGTTCCAGTGAAAACATTCAGCATCTCTGAACTGGGAGTCCGTGGAGAAACTAGGAATAACTGAAGAATAAGCCTGCGATCATGGGCGCGGGATTGCTAACAGCATCTTCCTTGGTCAACGTTGCTTTGTGACAGGTGTTTGGGAATCGTGCGCTTGATTGTAGCAGCCTCCATGTACTACGTACACTAGCATATATTGACTAAATCAAAACTTGCCATAAACACTTTACTGCATACTTTGATTTTGAGGTCACAGTGCAATCCTACTATATATAGTCCGCTAAGTTTGTCTGTATGTGTGACGCAGAGAGAGCCTACGCGCCCAGCACAGCTATGTTGGGCAGGCTCGGTGTATAGTTCACGTCGGTCCTGGCAACGCGCGCAGACTAGCAAGCTGTTTCCTAATGAGCTCACGTGACATTCTTGCATTGCCGTTTTCAGGGGAGGCCAAGAGTGAATGTTGCGCACGTGGATTCATATGCTACGCCTCTTCTGCCACCCTTCTGCTACCAGGTAAGTGCAGAACAATACCCATCAAAATGGCTTGCTGATTTTACACGTTTGGCAAATGAATACATCCAATTTTCCAACAGAATCACTGGCCATGAGAGCAGAATGTAAAGTGTAGAGGTGTTCTTGTCATTAGTTGTAACAGCCAATGAAGTTAAACAGTTTATCGTCAGTCTTTCATGAGCAATACACAGTCAATTGTGGATTTATTCATCAGTAATACTGAAGTTTTTTCGATGAACAATTGCGTTACCATTGAACCATTCGTCGTCGACTTCATCATAACGGACATTAGAAGGAGCCTTGATCCACTCAATGCCTACCCGATCGTAGGGGAAGTTCTGCAAAAGGGGTTTCAGCCACAGAATCACAGCCACAGAACAGGCTTCCATTTACTCGAATTCTGTATGCCGTGCGGGGCATCCACGTAGCGACAATCCTTAGAAGCCACGACAGAATTTTCCCGCTAGTTGTTGACAAAATGTATCGCAGCACATCCGGCTGAACATTGCCGTCTTGGTGTGAATGCCGCGCATACGATACTACTTACAAGGCCACTGTCATCGCATTGTGAATCTCCTACATCACATCCCTCTACTGTTCTGAATCTTCAACTTACCGACTTGTTGCTGTCCTTCTCACGTGTAACCTTCATTTCACTGGATTCCTGCGGTGCCAGCACACCACAACTCGGCTCCATTGCAATGCCTTCTGTAGACGTTACCCTCCATGCGACTCCGTGATTACTCGAGTTAGCGATTCTCACATCGGAGCTCTGGACGCTGATGAGCACCGGTTGTTTGCTGGCGGTAGTAAGTGGCGGGACAGACATGGTGTGAAATGAACCTCTCCACTACTTTGCTACTCAAAAGTGATACCAAAAAGTGATATCATATCGAGATAATTTACACTCTCAGCAGGTGTGGTTCATTTCATCGAATGACAGCTCCGACGGAGTAAAGCAAACTGAGGTATCATTTTGTGGGGGCTGTTTATCCATACGGTTCATCCGAAGTGTTTTCAGAAGGACAATGGGTGCTGTGTTGAGTGCTTTCTGTATGGTCACAGAGGCTATATGGCCACCTCGTCTGCAGTTGAGAATGGAGGAAGCTCGGGTGAAGAACATGTTGCCATCCTATACACTTATCCCTGATGATTGCTCGGATTCTGAATGTGAGAATCAGCTCATCTTTTCTGAGAAAAGCCATTCAAAGCATATTCCCGGGTTACATAAGAGTTGCGCCAAGTGTGGCGAAAGAGGCACTGTCCTACTCGGTGAGAGAGCGTTGGCAACCAAACGTGATCCACTATAGTCGGACTGCACAACGTTAGGCTGCGTCCATACTTTATGCCAGCGTCCAGCGTCCACTAGCGGCAGAGCGTTCGACAGCGTCAGCGACTAGCAGCGCAAAGGGATCTAGCGTCTGCCAGCGTGTGTCAGCGTCCAAAAGCGCCTGCCAGCGACCGGGAGTAGAGAGTATGGGGAAGTAGGAGGGTAGCAAACAGCTGGATTAGGCGTCGTGAAATTGCGACGTGTGCAACCGCACCGTACAACTACACTACACCGTACATGCCTAATTCGGGGTTTTATGGCTAGCAGTTATGCAGTGAGGTTCCACACGTCGCGATTTTACGACGCCTGAATCCAGCTGTTTGCTACCCTCCTACTTCCCATACTCTCTACTCCCGGTCGCTGGTGAACGCTGGTGGACGCTGGCAGACGCTAGATCGATATCTATACTTTCCTAGTCGCTGACGCTGCCGGACGCTTGGAACGCTAGTGGACGCTGGTAGACCAGGTGGACAATGCCGCAAAATATGAACTGCTTGCCACTGCCCCACCCGGGTAGCGGCGAGCGGTGGCGTTGCAAGCGGAGTGTTGTGCGCAACATCCGCATCAGAATCCAACCCGCTCAACCGGCAACGCTGCGGCAATTCGAGTCTGGTCTCTCTCTCTCTTTCACGTCAAGAAAAAAGGGCGTTCCGGAACATTTATTGTCACGTATAATAGTACAGTCGTAGTACAGTAGTAGTGTTGGAACAGTATATTGTCAAGATTATACTGTTCCAACAAATGCCTGCATCTGATTTTAATGACTTAAAGTTTATCACAAAAGTGCCGAGTCCGCCATCAACCACTCCCTTCAGTGAATTAGAACACTAGGAGGATAGGCAACGATTTCAAAGAAAGACTGTGCTGCTCAATTCCTCTCTTGCATAAGCGGCCCCCTACACAATCACAGAGGTTCTCCCACCCTCCATAATGAGCGACAGGGGCGCTGCGGCCATCACAGGTTGAGTTATATACGGTATGCCGTACCATGAGTTATATACGGTATACCACTCTGAAATGGTTGAGCGCGGGGTCTGTCTCTGACCGCAGTTCCACCACTCAGTGCGAGTGCCACCTCCACTTATGGTGCTACAAAGGCAGATTTTGCGATGAGCCAGCGAGAATTTCGTTGGTATTCGGGATATATATATAGAAGCGCACGTACCAAATGACTCGAATACAACTTTCTGACGCGAAACTTGTACACTGTTGTTCGTTGCGGTTTTCCTCCACTTCAAAGAGCTTTTATACTCATATTAGATATTAGATAATAGATAATAGCAAGCTGTGCATTTATCACTTTCTGGGGTTAACATATTCGAATTCCCAAGTTCAACACGGAAGTTTCAGTAGAAAATGAGAGTTACAACTCCACACATGATGAAGAATCAAAAGAAGGTGGTGGCAATACAATGGAAGGCACCATTAGAGTTCATATAAAGGATGATCAACAGGATGCTACTCTAGACAACCCTTCACAGGCGGGTTGACTTCAGCGAGTTGAGATATCTCTATTTGAAGGCAGCGCCC